ACCAGATTCTCTGGTTGGTGATTGGCCGAAATCTTGGATTGGTTGATCGACAAGTAAAAGAAATGTAAACAAGGCACGTATCCACACGTGCCCCGCATTGTACTACATTATAATTGATATATTATTGGACAAAGTGAAAGAGCAAGGCGTCGAGGTGTTCTCTTGATAAGAAGTGTTTGGAAGTCTTCCCTTTCCCCTTTTGTACCAGTTTCTTTTCTCCTCAAGATCAAAGAAGGCTCTCATTAAGCTAGTAATTGGTTTTGATGGGGTTTTATATTTCCAGTACAAACTTTTCTCCTTCCTCTTTATCCTTCCCTTTTATCTTCTCAAAAATATAAAATTTTTATACCTTAGGACCACAGAGGTTAAGTTGAAGTGAACAGTCTTGAGTGAAGGGCTGGCAATGATATTGAGATTCACAAGGAATGTGGATCAAGATAGAGCAACTTTTTTCATTCCCCTTAATCACATCTAGAGGTCAGTGGCTATTGACGGGTGTGCCGTATATATTTAGATAAGTTAACCGTATAATTACGACCGGTACTATATGTATCTACTTTTTATACCTCAAGTAAATTCAAATTGTACCTCGGGTAAATCCTGGCAATAAATGCAAATAAACTTGACTATATGGTCTGATTAGGTGTAAAAAAAAAAAAATAATAATAATTGATTTGTTTATTAATATTTTATTGTTATAAAAATAGTAATTATTATAATTGTAATAATTATTGTAATAGTATTATTTACTATATATTAGTTATTGAAAAATATATTGAATATATGACTTTGTTTTAATTGTTATTATCAAAAAAAAATTTTATAGTATTTTTATTAATTATAATATAATATATCAAATATTTAAATTTGTTTTAATGTTTAATATTTGATTAATTGAATTTGAAATAATTATTAATTGATAGAAATAAATATGAGTTTTTTATAAAAATTTTTTTGTAATTTAGCAAAATATACTAAACTAAGCATTATTGTTTTATAATTAAATACAAGAAATCTGCTTAAAAGATCTATAGTAAAAATATTTTTTTAAAAAAGAATTGATAAGAAAAAATATTTTTTCAAAGATTTTTAAAATATTCAAGAATTCAAAAAAAATAAAAAATAAAAAATCTTCAGTTTTTTGATTATCTCTTTAGTTTTTTATTTCTTTTTTTTCTTAAGCATGTTTTCTTTTTTTTTTTTAAAAGAATTTTATTTATTTTAATTTGATTTTAAATTTATAGTTATATCAAATCTTTTGAAAATAATTGATTAAGATCACAGATTGATTAATCATATTAGCAATAGAAAAAATAAACAAGATATATTTTTTTATATATTTTTAGTTATATAATATTAAGCCAATAATACAGTATAATTGATTCTTAAAGAATTGAATAGTTTTTAATTAAAAAAATAGTATATAAGTATTAGATAAAGTTGAAATTGTGAATAAGAAGGAATAATATTTTTTTTTTTTTTTTTTTTTTTTTTTTTTTTAAAAAAGCAAAAAATAGATACAAAATTAAAGTCTTATTTCAATTTAATAACAAGTTGAAATAATAATATTTATTTTAAAAATAGTTAAAAAAAGGAATCTTGAAATTATATATTAGTTGAATAAAATAACAATTCTAGAAGATATGACTTGAAAGAAAAATTAATAATAGAAAATTAAAATTTTTTTTTAATTAAAAGTTTTTTAAGTATAAAGTTTCTTGAAATTTTTTCCTGAAAGTATCTTTAAATATTTTTAAATATTATTACTAAATTTAAATTAAATAGTTTGACTAATTACAAGTAATAAGAAATAAATACAATAGCAATTATAAGAGGCCTGGATTTTGATTTATTAAAAACTTTTTTATTAATAATTAAAATAAATAATATGTACTTTATTTCTTTTAGTTTTAATATTTTATTTTTTATATATACTTATATTGTTTTTTTATACTTATGATTTTTTATTTTTTTTTTTATATATAGTTTTTATAAAAAGAAATTGATACAATTTGAGTTTATAATTATAACTGTAAAGATGATTTGCCGGTTTTGATTCTATTAAAAATTTTGGATCTTAATTTTATTTATTAAGAAAACAATATATTATTTTCATAAATCATATTTGGAGATTTTGGCTATTGATAAGTAATTTAAATTAAGAAGATTTATACTTTGCATATATTCTTATATTTTGATAGTTCTATAATTTAATAAATATAATAATATTAGTCTAATGCAGGTTTAAAAAAAATTTTTTTTAATATATTTATAAATTAAATTGAATTATTATTTTAATAATAATTTAAAAAGATTATAAACACATTGATACAGCTAGAGAAAAAATCTACTATATAAAGAAAAGGATAATATTAATATTTGAAAAAAATTAAAATTAAAACTTGATAATTTAAAAAATTAAAATTTTTAATAATTTTTAACAATATTTTCAAATATTTTTATTAAAAATTATACTTTATAAATTATAAATAATAAAAAAATTTTATTATAAAATTTTAATAAAAGTATTTTAAATAATTATTTCAATTGAAAATTTAAAAGATTTTTGTTATCAATATTTTGTAGATTAACAAATTTGTAAAGCAATTATCGAATTTAACATTAAATAAAAGATTAAAAAAATCATTAAAATTTTTCATTATACAGTTGTTCTAATTATAATACTTTAAAAAAATTTTTCACTTTTTTATAATACAATATAAGGATAAGAATTATTATTGAATTCCATTATGACAAACTTTGTATAAATAAATAATTATTTGTTAAGCATAGAGTTTATGTCAAAAAATAATTTTAAGAAGGGTTATTTATCTCAGATTTTTATTCTATATTTGTTAAGAAATTTTTTATAAATGTATAGTTTATATGAAGGATGTATATAATAAAAGTAGAAGGCAAAACTTCACCTTATCATCGAAATTTTTTACTAAATAGCATCAATTACCGATTATTAAAGAGCATCTTCGCGTTTAGAAATATATTCCACGGCATCTTTGATCGATCGAATTTCGTCTGCCTCTTTATCCGGAATTTCAATCGAGAAATCCTCCTCAATGTTCATGACAACCTCAACAGTGTCTAAGCTATCCAGCCCAAGATCATCGACGAATCTCGCTTGAGGAGTTACCTTTTATAGTGTTATTTTGGGAAAGCATTTAGTCACAGCCAAACGAACATAAATATATATTTTCCCAAACATTTAAAGCTGATAATAAAAAAAATTACTATCCAATAAATAAAAACTTGATTCAACTCGCAGCAAATTTCTTATCAATGCGGTAATACCTTCGTTGGATCAACCTTATCAAACGATTTGAGAATTTCAATAATTCTACTTTCAATGTTACTATGAGAAAGACTAGCCTTGGCAGAATAGGATTTCTGGAAAGGAATGATCCTTGATTTGACAGGTACTAAATGTTGCTTATTTGCATTCTGGCGTAAAATGGAAAAACCTGCGGGGCGGAATAAAAATGTGTTCGTTCGAGCCGAAAATCCGTTCATTATCAGTTTTAACAGCAAAGAAGTTAGCAAAATTAGATCAAGATTTTATGATCATAATATTGTTACACAGAAAAAGCCACCTGACGAACGGAATTTTTGACGTGACGTTGCGTTTGACCATTACATAAACTCTGTTGATAATTCTACCAACCATATAATATACATGTCTGGTCGACATTCAGTTAATCAATTTGATACAAATGGAAGACCTATTCTTCCAAACTCTCAACAAGTCCTTCATGGTCAAATAACAAATATCCAAAATATACCTGGAACGCAACAATCGTCAATGTCACTTCCTTCTAATGCAATCATGCCTGGTCTTCCAAATCAATCTGGGATGTTGAGGCATTCCGTACAAAATCCAATTGAAGTTATCAGACCTGGAACCACTGTTCCTGTTTCGATCAGACAACCTGCTAACAACAGGTCTCAAAACGCTTTGAATCCAGAGGTTCTCATCGGTTCCGGAGCACAACAGATGATTCCTTTGTTAACCGATAATACTACTAATAATGTTCAATCAAGACCTCCAACTCAAATGCCTTCGGTCAACCAAATTCATGGTCGCCCACATAATATTGCATCTGGTACGACTATTAAGCAACCTGTCGTTTCTAATTTTAATTCGGCTAATCGTCCGCCACCAGCCGGGAAAATATTACCTCGAAACATTCAGAGGCCTAAAATGTTTGAAATGCCAAAGCCTCAATTGACTCTGAAGGCTGAATATATAATCACACCGTCTTCCATAGTTGGCAAAAAGAAATTGAGCGTAATGAGGATCAGAGGTCAAAAAGTAGATCTCACAAAATTAAATGCACCTGTTAAGCTACATAGGAGAGATCCTGAAGCGCCTACGCAGAATGGTGGCATCAATAATCGCCAAAATCAAAGCATCGTGCCTGGAAACAAATCGGCTCAAGTTTTACCACCCACTACAGGAACTGCCGATGCATCATTGATTGCTCCATATGCGGGTGCGAGACAAAACAAGAAAAACCTTTTCAAGAAGAAGACGACCCAAGTCTTCTTGGCTGATCCAAAATCAAGAGAGCTCAGAGCAGAAGAAAGTATTCCATGGGTATTGGAAGACTTTGGCGGCGAAAATACATTCATTGGTGACTATATAGGGGGTGACAGTGCAAAATATTGTGTCTTGCTTAAAAAGGTATAGTTTTAATTTTTGGATTCTAAAATTATTGGATCTAATTGTTTATTTTACGTGCAAAATATCTTTTTAGGGTGATAAATTTAGATTCGTACCTGTCCATCGATTTTATGAATTTCAGCGCAAACTTAAAATTAGGACTTTGACTATTGAAGAAGCTGAAGAACAAGTAATCAAAATATGTATTATATTTACAACGATCTAATAATGAGTAACTTATTCAACGATTTAAATTCTCGTCATCTTTAGATGGCTCGGGCCAAAAAGATGGACAATGATCGCTGGTTAATGAGAAGATTTGGTAAAGGGAAGGAAGCGGAAGATAATGAAGGTGGTATTTACGATCCAAAATCTAGTATTAAGACTGTAGAAGGAGAAGAGGAGTTACTTGGTTCTGATGAGGATCGTCGTCCAACAAGGGATGAATATGATGATGAGATGGATTATGATGAAGAATTTCAAGATGACGAAGAGGTTATTAATAGATTTTAGTACTCCATTTAGTGGTAAAATTTGAGGCTAGTTTATTAACCATTTTTATTGATTTATTTACTCTAGGATCTTCCCGACGATGCTAATCCACTTATTGATGACGAAACTAAGGAAGTGGGAAAACTTAAAGCCAAAGCTAAGCGTCCTTTCGAACTTAATGATCCATCCCTATCTGACGAAGGGGACGAACTGACTACTGAAGGGAAGCAAATGAAAAAGTTAATTAGAGAATTAGATGACAACGATGTATATGAAAGTGATCGAGAGTCAAATCCATATTTCTCTGAAAGTGATGAATTTGACAGTGAAGGGACCTCTTCTCCTTCTTCAAAATCTCCATCAACTGCGGGATCTGGTAATAAGACTGTACAATCTGCTAAAACCGAGAAACTTGTGGATAAAGGAAAAGTAACAACAATAAAATCAAAGGCAACCAATAAGCCCACTACTACGAAATCCAAAATGCCTACAGGAACAAAGATAAAAGGCATGGCTGAGAAGCAAACGAAGCTTAAGACTACTACCAAACAGAAACCTGTGGTCCCCAAACCACCCGCAAATAAAGGAAAGAGTGCAACACCAGTTTCAGCTAATGTTACAACCTCTGTTGGCTCTAAAATAAAAGTACCTGAAAAGAACATCAGGCAGGTTAGTGATATTACGTATAAGGCTTCAGACAAAGGGATTTCGAGTGCTACATCAGTTCCGGGTAAAGGAGCCATCCAGAAACAAAAGCCTACCAAGATTGGGGCTCCATCATCATCGTCTTCTTCTTTTGCTGCTACTCCCGTTTCTGCCGGCAGATCTAAAGAAACCTCTCCTAATCTTGGGAAAAGGTCCCTTTCTAATGATTCTGAGTCAATTTCCATTAAACGCGCACGTGTTGACGCACCTACAGAAGCAAAAAAACTTGTTAAGCCTCCTATAAAACGTGAAGAAGAAGGTAGACCGGGTCCATCTGGATCGGCTGTTAACAACGTCAAGAAATCAAAAGCTCCTACAAAGGGTTCCACTGGTAACTCCCAACAGGGAAGTTTGATCGATGAAAGCGAAATTAGGAATTTGATTCTCACTAGGAAGGTTCGAGTTACCGATCTGATCTTATCCTTTAAGAACAGGATCAAGGAAGATTCTCGTAATAAAGATCGTCTCCTTTCAATTACAAAAGAGATCGCGACTTACAAAGATGGCATTCTCGTACTGAAGGGTAGTTCATAAAATTTTTTAACCAAAGGAACTAGCTCAAAATTCTAACATAGAACATTAAGAAATTTTCATTAACTTGTTTATATATTGGCCGCATAATTGTCAGATTAAACTTAATAGAAAATCAAACATTTAAATTTTGCATTGGTGAGAATTATGCTGCTCTTGATATCAATTTGTGTAAATCATATAAAATTAATAAATAATTCAAATATTCTTGCCAATATGTTATTAATTTTGTTTCAATACAAAGTATTAAAAAGTTACAAGTTTTTTTTTTTTTTTAATACAAAAAATATTTAATAATTTAGAATTACTATTTATTTTATTAGTTATAATAAAAAAAGTATTTATTTAAAATTTTGATAATTTTTTATTATATAAATTAATAAATTAATGATTTTTACAACAAATTAATTTTTTATATTATGATATTGATATAAGTTGCCAAATATAATATGGGGGGTTTTTTTTTAAAAAAAAGAAAATATAATATTTAATATAAAATTTTAATATTTTGAAATTTATAATAAAAAATTGAAATTTATTTCTTAAATTGTTTTGTCAACAAATTTAACTACAATTGGCCTACAGATTAAAGATAATAAAATTTTTTTTGTTTAATAGAATAAATAACAAAAAATTAGCACGTTTTTTTTTCAAAAAAAATTTTTTTAATTATTTTTATTACTAAATATAAAAATCAATTTAAAAAATTTATAACAAAAACATTTTTATAAAAAGAAAATTAATAAGAAAAAATATTTTTTAAAAAAAGAAAAAGATTTTTCAATTTATAAGGTGGATATAAGTATTGTGCCACACTATTAATTATGCTACAGTTGTAATATCTTGTAACTTAAGTTATAAAATTTTAATATGAAATATAATTTTTTTTAAAAAAATTAAAATTATTAAGATAATAATCAAAAATATTACAGATCATATATAATTATTTAATATCACTTATATATATATATATTTTCAATTTGTTTTATTTTCATATGTTCTCTTTTTTACTTCTTTTATTTATGAATTTCTTGCTTTTGTATTTTTTCGATATTACATTTTATTTATTATTAGGTGACTATTTTTTTTTTTATCTTTTTTCATTGGCAATTTTTTTTATTTTCTTTTCTGTTTCTTTTAACAAACATAATGATTTTTTATTAGTAATAAGCTAAGTAAAAAATATAGTCATATATTTTTTTTTTAACTGTTAAACTTTAAGTTAATCCTTTTCTACTTTTGATTCTTTGTTCTGCTTTAAATAATAATATAAAAAATATTTAAGCATTTGTTGTAAAGAACTGGTATCAGGATTTTTATAGAATTCTAATTCTTCTTTTAAATATTTAACTCTCTTATTAAATGACTTTATTTCTAACTATAATTTTTTATTTGTAGAAGTTAAACCAAAATGGCTTGAAATAATTTTAAATAAAAAAGATAAAATTGATATAATAAATAAATAAGTTAATTGTTAGAACTTTATAGATCAACTCTTTATATTATCATTAAGAGTTTCAAACAGCTAAAATTAATAGTACTGAAATTGAATAACTATATTCCTGTTATCTTAAAAGTACTATATATTGTTATAAAATATATATCTTAATATAGACCTGTCTAAAGATTTTAGCAAATATATATTTGATTATTAATTTATTATTATTAATAAAAACTTGTTATATTTATTGTTATAGACTTTTTTAAATTAGGTAAAAAGTAATTTAGCAAGTTATAAGATATGAGTAATATGTAATAAAAAGTTATAAAGAAAAATATTATTTTTATAATAAAATTTTATACAAGTATAGTTAATATAATTTTTATGTTTATCAAGAATTAATAAATAGGATAAATAGTAATAATAGAATTAATAAAATACTCTATATATTTTTTAAATAAGTCTTCTTATATATAACTAGTATTAATAAATTCTATTATAGTACCTGCAGATAGACTATTCAAAAGATCCGAAATTATTTATTTGCTCTTGTATATTAATAATAGTAATATATACTATATATTTCAGCAGCAGAAATAATTAAATATACAGAAATATGTTTATGATTACTGCTATAAAAAACTTGATAAATTTGACAAGTTCCTTTTTTGACAATTACTTTTTGAAGTTTAGATTCAATAACAAAATCTAAATTATATATAATTATTAATAAAAATATAATTTTGTTTAGATTTAAGATTCGAATTTAAAAATAAAATAAAATCTGTCCTGTCCATATTTCAAATCTAATCAAAATTAAATATTCATTAATAATACTTTTAAAATTTTTAAAATAATCATTGATAATAATAGGATTTGCTTTTTGAGCATATGCTTTATTTAAGACTTATGGGATACAAAATGAAAATTTGGGATAATCTTTTAAAAATTATCATCATCATGCCTAATCTAGTCCATTTTTGTTAAAAAAATGTGAATATTTATTTCTATAAACAATTTTTATTATATAATAATTTATATTAGATTTTGATAATTCAAAATCAAAATCAATTCTCTTGCAACAAATTATCACCATATTAGACTTATAATACACCAAATCAAATAGCATACTCAAATTATTGGAACTACTTTCAGCTCTGGAAGGGCATTAACTATCCAGTAGAGCTAATCTGAGTTACATCAAGTATAATTAGGATAGCAATAGTTAGCATTGTAAATAGATTAATATTAATTTACATATGTCATGTAAAGATATTTGATGTAATCTGTGTATCAATATATATACTTGATAAAGTTTTGCATCTAATGCCCTTTTACGATAAAAAAAAAAAAAAAAAAAAAAAAAAAAAAAAAAAAAAAAAAAAAAAAAAAACAAAAAAAAATTTTTCAATATTTAAAAAAAAAATAAATTATTTTTTTTTTTTTTTATTTTTTATTATTATATAAAAAAATTTAAATTTTTAAAAAAAAAAAAAAAAAAAAAAAAAAAAAAAAAAAAAATAATAATAATAATAATCCAAAATCACGTTTCTGCATATTTAAATAATAATTAATCAGTTATTTCTCTTTATAATTTGTTAAGACTTTGTTAAAACCTGAACATTTAGAAAAAACATTATTCAAAATAGCTTGTTTAAGAGTTTATTTTGGAATATTAAAGTCTTATGTAATACTTCTTTTACTTGAAACCTTAAGGTTATTTGAAAAATCATTTATAAATTTAAGAGCTTTTTTAATAGAATTATTTCAAATAGCTTTATCCTTTTTAAATATTATAATTTTAGTTTTTTATTAAATTGTTTCTTTACATATGCAAAATAAATACATGTTAAATATTATCACTTTAATACTTATAGAGAAGAACAAAATAATTAGATGTCATTAGTTATATATTTATTGCATTACTAAAAATATCAGAACAAATAAAAAAACAATTTTAGATAAAAAATTATCTAAGCATAATAATAGTTAATTAAATTATTGATTTCTATATTAAAATAAAGATTATTACATATTAATAATAGAGTAAAATTAATTGAATTCTTTGTTCCTTTTACTTGTATTTATAATTCAGTACAATCTTATTTATTATACTTTTAATTATATAACTTCAAAAAAAAAATTGATCACTAATAAATATTACATATTGATATGCTTCAAAATTTAATATATAAAAAAATAAACATTAATAACAATTGTTTAATTAGTTCAAAGCAAAATAAAGGACTTTATTATTCTATACATGTTAATAAAAAATATATGTTTGGTTTTTATTGATGTTTATTAATTTTTTTTTATTAATTCATGTAATGATTATGCTTTAGACTTTCTAATGGTTTTTATTCCATAGTAATAAAAAAATTATTATAATTTTCTTTGCAAAATTTTATTAATAATTATTTAATTGTAACTTAGCAATTGGATTACAAGATATTATAACTGCAACATAATTAATAATATGATACAATACCTATATTCATCTTATATTGTTATTAAACTTTTCAAAATTTTTATTAACTTTAGATAGATACTATTATATATTATCAATATTTTTTTTTTTTTTTTTTTTTGTAGGTAAACATCATTTCTTTATTTGATTTGTATATAGCAGGGTATACATCG